GTGTAGGGGGTTGGTCACATATTAGAAAATTTAGAATATTAATTTAGGCTAATTTTTAGCCAAAAAAGAAAATTACTTAGGAATTAATTTAGAAAATTTTGGTGAAAGCAATTAGGGTTCCGTGTTAGAATTGTGTTGATAATTGCATGAAAACCCAAATGTTTAGTTGAGCCTATATACGTTCTAGTGCATTTGCGGCTTCCTTATTCCAGTGAAATCATGAGACAAAAACACGACCTCGCTCAGCCTGAGGGATGCAGTATGTTTATCATCGTGTACCAGAAATGTATCTAGGAAAATTATTATCTTTAGCCAATAAAGGTTGAAGTTGAGCGCCCCTACTTAAGCATGTAGGGATTTGAATGAAACAAGTGAGGAACATGTAAAAAAAAAAAAAAAAAAAAACAAAAAAAAAAAAAAAAAAACAAAAAAACAAAAAAACAAAAAGAGTTTTTGGAGCATTAAAGTCAATAATCAAAAATCAAACAACAAAAGTGAAGATACCAAAAATCAAACAACAAAGGTGGTGAATTCAAAGAAAATTAAAAATCCAATGTCGAAGAAATGAATAATTCCAAAGAGCTCCAATGTGGTATCATAAATTGTAATTGTCTAGATTATGTATGCTTGGGTTGCTCAACCAAAAATACCTTGAGGTTAGGAGGTTTTCTGAGGATGGATTCGGAGGGATGCATAAAATGAGCATAGTTCGGGGTGAGTGGGAGAATGTTTATGAGGACTGTGAGTATTTGGAGTATGGGGGTATTTAGGACAATTTTGGACAAAAATGCGTGCGCTTCGGTCTTGGCATAATGGCTGGGATAGATTGGAGTTGTCATATGTGGTTCTAATATGTTAAAATTCAGTTTTGCTTGGGGGCAAGCAAAAGTCAAGTGTGTGATATTTTGATATTGCATAATTAGTTAATTATTGAGCTTATATTTTTATTCATTTTTAACTAATTATGTGTATAATATGGACAAAAGGTACTTAATAATGCTTAAATTTTGTTTTAGGTCCGTACGACATGCTTGGGAGTAAAAAGGAACAAAGGGAAGCAATTAAAGACCAAAGAGTGAAAAATGAAGGACAAAAGCAGTCCTACTCAGCGAGTTCTCGAGCATATTCGGCGAGTACAAGAGAAGATTCCAGAAGATAAGTCAAGACTCCTGATTTGAGACGGATAATTAGCACCTACTCGGCGAGTTGCGTCTGCTACTCGCCAAGTGCACCCTGTTTTGGGATAATTATAATACCAACCCATTATCCGATTGGAAAAGACTTTTGGCAATTTTGAGAGCTAAACCTGCGACAAAGAATCCCTGGAGGAGCTAAGGAACCCTAATCTTCAATCCTTGGAAGAATCAAGGCAATTAGGTTAATCATTCCTCTTAGCTTTAGGAATTTAAGATGTTTAGCTTAGTTAACTCTGCTATTGAGTTTGTTTTTATCATGACTATGAACTAAATTCGTTTAGTTTCTGTTTGGGAAGACTAATTTGCTATTATGGTTATAATATACTTTTTGATTGATTATGATTTGGTGATTTTATTAAATTAAGTTTGTTAAAGAACCTTATGCATTGATGACAACTATTTTCTGTTAATTGGAAGGTAATTAAGCTGCATGAACATCTCTTGATTATTAACCTCATATGTATTTTGAACACTTGATCATATGCTTAGGAGTAATGAATATGAAATGAAGATTAATTAGAAAATAGGTAAGTTAATGTGTGACCTTGTTTGAGGAACCAACAAACAAGACGTTAATTGAAATATCAACTTGATTAACCAATTACAAATCTTATTTAATCCAAATAATTGAACTAGGGAATTAGTTAGTTTAAACAATTGGCCCTTGCTTGAATTAATTAACTATCTAAGGGTTAGGAGTAATGAACATGAACCTAACCACTATAGTTGGTAACCAATAATAATTAATTTATCATAAAAATAACCATAGGAGTGAATTAGTTGAACCTAAACAGAAACCCTTCAATAAATTTGGTGAATTTGTCATTTGTTTTAATCGTTAGTTAGTTAATTGTTTTATTTGCTATGTTTAAGTTTCTAGTCTTATAAATCTAGTGAAAAACCCTTTTACTTTTATTATTTGCTTAGTTAAAATTAGTTATTAGATCAATTTCCGATCCCTGAGTTCGATATCCTACTTGTCCAACTATACCACTAAAAGACAGGTTCACTGCCTTTGTGTGCTTAACTCATGAATAAAAAGTAGGATTAAAACTAGTTGGTTTTACACACATCACAGATCTAGGCAGATAGATAGAAAGTACCATTTTATTATACATTGAATCAAAGGACTCCTCATGGAAAAGAGTGTATCATCATATGAGAACCCAGTAGATCCCCTCACCAAGGGACTGTGTAGGGTTAAGCCTCTACAGCATACGAGGCACATCGGGCTAAAGGATGATATTATTTTTAGTAACTTAGATAACTTTTTAAACTTGTAATAGTTGAAATGTAATTGACATTTGATGTTTAAATAAAAGGTGCTTTATTAACTACAATGGTACTGTCTTGTGTCAATCATTTAGTACTGTTTCAATTTGCATATTTTGACTTCTAGAATAATTATGTTATGGTATATCCTATTATTCAAAACTATCTAGAATCGATCATACTTTGGAAGTAGGTATTCAATGAAGATTGTCATGAATTGGATTTGTAGATTTGTCTGAATTGTATTGGACATAGAAATTTTGTTGCAACATTCACAAGTGCTCATAAGTTCTGAGTATTGGAATCAACCCACGCTCACATGTATCACATCATGTGATTTATCTCGAGTAACCGTGAGACGGTAATATTATATAAGTCTTCAAACCAAGAGATATGAGTTATTGAGTATGAGTTGGTTATAGTACTAAAACACATAAGTAACTTGAGGTTATAAAATGTGCTATTGTGTATAATTTGATGTTATAAAATGTGCTATTGTGTATAATTTGATGATTAGTACTAAAACACATAAGTAACTTGATGTTATAAAATGTGCTATTGTGTATAATTTGATGATTAGTTAGTACAAGCATATAACTCGAAGCTTATATGTTCCTTTTAGTCCTTGGAGGATTAAAAGCGATATCTTGGGACCTTCGATGATTTTGTTTTGACCTATGTATGTTAGTCCCAAAACTACAGATCCAAATCAGTAGTCAGTGAAGTAATAACAATCAAAATAGAGTGTAGAAGGAGTAGAAGAGAAATAACATCAAGAATGGACACATCTATTGCTCATATATGTCGGTACACCTTGAAAGTACACACACATACGTCACTGTTCAGCAACTAGTTCAATCTAACACAAACCAGGCCCTATAAATAGTACCCTCACTAGCACACGAGTATGCAGCCATACACGTGTGTGCGGCCGCACACACGAGTGAGGCTGCACACATATTCCAAGTTTAACCACTACACTACATTACATACACTTCCACCCTAAACAGATCTATAAAAAATTAATCCCTAACTCAAACCACAATATTATAGACTATCAATCTCCCCCTTGGTTTGAGGTTAGCATAGACTTGATCTTCATTCAGTTGGCTTCTCAAACAACTTTAGATCTGATCTTCCAATGTAGCCCATCCACATTCTTCGGTTAATGATTGTGGCAACCATTGCACTAAACTATTTAACAACCGCCTCCATAACCTCTTTTCTACATATAATCTAGTGACAAGACAAAGTGCGGATGTCCCTTTCCCTGAACTGAAGAAGATCTTTAGCACTTATCAACCTCAAGACTTGTTCTCGATCCTCGAATTTTATAGCAACAGTGACAGTTTCGTCGTCGTAAGCCCATAATTCCATTTTATCAAGATATCCCTCATGGAAGTACCGAGGGATAGGAATTTCCTTTTGCTGTTTAGTTGCAGGCCAAAGTATGATCTTCATAGGCTCGCCTGATTCTGGATCTAGAGTTTCTTTGTCTTTTCGGTACAAGGCTCTTGTAGTCTTCATCATTGGTAAGTTTTCCTTGACCTGTTTGTCAAGAAATCTTTTGAAGTTAGAGGCACTGGGATCTTCCGAGGGATTATGGAATGGAGCTCTCAATAGTTCAGCAAGATCCATTTTGGTCCAAGAGTTTAAATCATGGGTGCTCTTGTAATATTCAGGATTTCCTGAGTTCCTTTTCACAACCCACAAATTTGTTTCAGGATCAAAGGCCCACATTCGAATTCCCGACCTATCTCCGTACTCATCACCAAATTTTCATTTCTTGAGCTCCGTAACTGTTAGCACAAGGTCTTTGGCTTTGCGATTCTTGTTTGAATTCTTCATGAAGAGTAACCCTTTGCTTTTGTTGGTTGTTACGGTTCTCTTTCCCTGTTTGATTGTTATTCGGGCTTTGCTTCCTTCTGGCTCCTTTTCAAATCATTTGACAATAGAGGTTGTTCTAGGAGCAGGTGGATCGACTGGAAAGTCTTCAGAGACAGACTGTTTGGGGGCTGTGGGAGGATCATTGATTCCGTGTTGCTGTTGAAAAAGGGCTTTGACTTTTTCACCAAATGCTTCATACAGAACGTTCTTTAGATTGAAGTAGCTAGCATTCGCTGAACCAAGATTCATCTGTAGATCTTTAATCTATTTTCTCTACTCCTCATCCTTTGCTCTGATCTCTTCTCAAAGATCAGACGAAGAAGATTTATCATCACTTGTCTGATCCTCTCTAAATGACATTCCTTTGCCACGAGAAGAGGTTGGGCTATGTTGCGCCAGCTGTTTAGCCAGTCTTATTGAAGCTTCATCTAATGAAGGTCTGGTGGGAGAATATTCTGGAATTGATGTTGAGCCGCCTGTCTCAAACATAGAACTCGGCCTTCATCAGTTTGTATTGGAGAGTAAGTAGTAGTAGCAGTGACATTCGAGAAAACTTGATGTGCACTGCGCACAATGGGTACCTCCAGACTCGCAATTGATTGACTTGTTTCCATAGAAGACTGAGAGGTCTGGGGCTGAGCTAAATCAGGAACAATTGGAGCAGATAGTTGACACAGAGGGAGGAATCTCTGACATCACATCTCCTTGACTTGACGCATCCTCCATGGGCTTAGACGTGGAGAGTAGAATTTTGAGAGCATTTCCTTCTTCCCTAGGTTTGGTTGCTGAAGAGGCAACTTCATTGATTTTATTAAGGCAGTTGTTGAGGAATCCAGGAAAAGGACCAAATTCTTCATCATTAAGATGAAGCTCAATGTTTTTCGGGATATCATCACAGAACCGTGTGAAGTCAATTTCCTTCAAAAATTCTACATCACCATAGAGATTGTCATCATCATCCTCATGAGCAGATTTAGTTTCATCCTCCATATGATAATCATGCTCCTCCACCATTATGGCTGTAGGAGAATCATGAATTTCCTCAAACTCTAGTTCAGAGGTTGAATGCACAATGTCTTCAGACTCCGTAGGGATGGATTGATCTTCTGATTCCAACCGATCATTTTCTTCAAAAATTCCGAATTTGATCAAGGGGAACTTTCCTTCAAAGACGAATTTTCCACCTCTCTTCTGTTTCATTAGCCCAAAGCACTTAGACCAATGGATTTAAGATCCAAAGTTTCGTTTCCTCTTCGCAGCTCGGGATGCATAACATTGAAGATGATTTGCAGAAATCTTGGGTACATCAAAATTTTATCTCTCTTATTCTCCTCAAGATTTAGAACCAACTCATTCATTATAAACATCGAGAAGTTGAACTCAATTCCTGCAGCCAAGGTTGTGATTGCTCTAGTGTTAGCTGAGGAGATTTCATTTGCACCGGATCTCCTACCAGAAATACAGCTCACAAGCACATGAGCTAGATACTTCCAACAAGGAGGAAGCAATTTCTTGATGGTAGGGGGAAAACTTCCCACATACCCCATATGGTCTAAAATATCCTGCATTTTATGAATATTAATTTCCATGGAGAATTCTGATCTGTCATCGATCTGGAGTGACTACCGAATGATATTCTTTAACAATTGTACTTTCTTTCCTTCAATTGTAACTTCAATGAATTTTCCATCCTTTTTGTCCTTCTTCACATCTGCGCTTCTCCAGAAGTCTTTGATCAGGCTTTGGTAAATTGCAGGACATGTTGTTAATGCATGGACCAGACAACACTTCTTCAAACCATTAACAATGAACTTTAAATCATTGTGAGCTACGGGAGGACCTTCAAGGAAAATGGCTAAGTTGTGAAACTTGGCAAATTCTAGGTCTCCCATCTTAATCTGAAAAGAAACACAAGCAATCATTAGGGCACAAATGATTTTGATTATAACGGAGATTGTGCAACCGCATATGAAAGTTCACACAGCCGCACACGTGCAAGTGTGCAGCTGCAGCCACACATGCTCAACCGTTCACAATTCAATGTAGCCGCACACGCCCGTGTGTGGCCGCACACACCGTGTGCGGTCGCACTTCCAGACGAAACATTTGTTCCTTCGATCAAACAACAAACAATGATCGATTTTTCATGAAAAAATTGTTATGAGAGTCACGTTCATGAGATTTACCAGAAATGTGCTTCGATTTCATGAGATTTGATAGAATATTCAAAGTTTTAGAGAGAGAGAGAGAGAGAGAAAGAGAGAGAGAGAGAGAGAGAGAGAGTCGTGTGCGGTTGAGAAAGTAAACAATGGAAACAGTGCCGGTAAATTTTCACCGCACACACCCTTTATATACTAAAAAATTTTCATTTTCTCCCCTCATCTTTTTAATAATAATAAAAACGATCTCCATACTCAAGCATTTTTCAAGAACAAACCATTTTGAGGATTAAAAGTTTAAAAATTATTATTCCTAAGGATTTTAAAAATAAAACTAAAAGTAAACTTAATAAGATAAAAATAAAAATAAAAATAAAATAAAATAAAATAAAATAAAAGGGAAATACTAATAACGACAAATATTAAATTTAATCTTAATCCTATAAATTGTTTTAAACTTTTGAAATGAGGGATCTTGAGTTTGTTGCATTTGAGGTATGTTGTATGGTATTTTTTTGATGGGCTGCATAAGATTGAACTTGAGGAACATGAACTTGAGAATTTGGATGAGTGGTAAAGCATAACAAAGCGATGTTGTTGTTTTGAATTCCAAGATTAGTTGTAGAGTACAAGTTGACATGGTTGATCTCTCTTTGTTTATCATCAAGATCACAATCTTTGATGAGTGCCATTGTTTCGGCTAAGCTCAATCGGTTCAGGTCTTTAGTCTTTTTAATCACTGAGAAGTTCATGTCCCAGGTCTTTTAGCAGCTTTTTGCCATTGTTTCAGCTAACCATCACACCAGCAGAGCTCATTTCAGTGGTTAGTGTGATAAACCTTTGCAATTGACTTTCCAGTGTTTCTCCCAAGACGTAGTTGAACATGTTGAATTACTATCGGAGCATGTCTTGTCGGCTTTTCTTCATGTATTCATTTCCTTCGTAGACTTCTATGAGAGCTTCCCAAAATGCCTTTGCTGATGTGTATTCACGAAATCCTTGAGCAATCTCATGAGATAATGCCATGGTGAGTGTAGCGAGAGCCTTTTCTTGTTCCTCAACTCTTTCAAAGTCATCATCTGTGTAGTTTTCAACCTGTTTGTCAATTACAGTGCCATCTTCTAGAGTTAATGTAATCCGAATTGGACCTCTTAAAATACTTCTCCAAATTTTGAAATCTTTCATCTTGATATACTTTTCAACTCGATATTTCCATTAAGGAAATCCTTCTGCTGACAACAATCGAGGAATTCGAGTAGTTGTTCCCATAATTTCATCCAAATCTTGATGAGCAATCATGCTTTGAGATTCCATGTTGACAAACTTAAATGATTGTTACCACACACACAAAGTATAACGACACACAAAATTACCCTTAACCGCACACACAATTTTATACTTGACCGCAACTCCAACCGCACACTAAGCAGCACACTCAACACTACTTGAATTCAATTCAGTAAGTGTATTCGCACACACTTAAGAGCACACAGAACTTAACAGCAAACCCAACCACACACACTTAACAGCACAATCAACCGTACACACCTTAAAAACACACTCAACCTTACACACCTTAACAACACACTCAATCTCACACACCTTAACAGAACACCTCAAATAATTCAATCGCACACGCACACCTTCAACAGCTAACCACACACCTTCAACAGTTAACCACACACGCTAAAAAAATCACCCGCACATACAATTTTCTCAGATTTTTTATGGAACTTGATTTCAAACTATTGTAAACAATAGTCAAACAACAGTTCTTTGATCAAATCAGACAAATGCACTTCAAAAATAGTGAAATTTTGCAACCTCACACTCTAACATACTTCAATTGATACCAAATTGGCTCCGATACCAATTTTTAGTCCCAAAACTACAGATCCAAATCATCAATCAGTGAAGTAATAACAAACAAAATAGAGTGTAGAACGAGTAGAAGGCAAATAACATCAAGAATGCACACATCTATTGCTCATAAATGTCAGGTACACCTTGAAAGTATGCACACATACGTCAATGTTCAAAAACTAGTACAATCTAACACAAACCGCCCCTATAAATGGTACCCTCACCAGCAAACGAGTGTGCAACCATACACGTGTGTGCGGCCGCACACACGAGTGAGTCTGCACACATACTCCAAGTTTAACCACTACATTGCATTACATACACTTCCACCCTAATTAGATCTATACAAAATTAATGCATAGCTCAAACCACAATATTATAGACTATCAATGTACCGGGCCTGGTCAGAACTCAATTGATGTGTTCGATTAAGTTCTATGCCAAACAAATCAAAAATCGGGATACAAACTCCTGGAAAATAAGTACGACGTTATTCCATGTATTTGTCCGACTAATATCATGAACAGAGGATTAAATGCTGATATCATGGTAAATTATTCATTTTTATATAGTGGGCTCATGATCCATGATTCATTAGATTGAGCTAGGACCCATAGGGTGCTCCATGGAGGTTAAAACCCATCTATCGTGGAGGAAATAAAAAGTCATGCACATTAGGGTTTGCATGGTATAAACCTACATGTAACACATTATATAAAGGACCTCATAGTAAGTAAAATCGGTTACTAAGACAAAAAGGTGAGGGCTAGCCAAATTTTGTACACAAGTGTTCTTCTCTCAAGTTATTCTAAGAGTTGTGGTGTTGCGTGAAGCATTGAGGCATCACATTTTGGGTACTAGGCTCACAAGGTCTTAAGGAATCCAAGCTAGAAGAAAGGTATGTCATTCTACTATGTTTTGTAGTACATATACCCCATGATAAGTTGGCTAGGATGAAAACCTTGGAAAATGAAAGTTTGCATGTATAATAGAGAAAACATAGGTACAAGGCTTCTAGGGTTACATGTACACCATAGGAGTGTTAGAATGCTCAAATCCTATCAGGTATTCCTATAAACAACCATAGACAACAATATGCAAATTGTAATTTATAGTTATATTATTGTATCCAATCCTAAAGGTATACAAAACATTTGCCAACTTAGATCCAAGTAATTATCTAAAGTTATACTGAATACATAAGGAGTGCCATTAAGACTTAAAAATAACCACTTACTAAAAAATATAATGAAGGTGGGCCAACTACTTCGTCATTCCCAAATCTATTGCTCATTGATTCCAATCCAACTTCCAGATTGTATGGCTTCTTGATTGTATAATATCCTTATAATAAAAAGAAACACATGTATCGTTGATGAGTTAATCAATCTAACACACACACACACACACACACATATATATATATATATATATATATATAAGAAGATTATGAAACTCATAAATCATAAATGCATACAAATCACAATTACATACAAATCATTATTTCATTTTAGTGAAAACATGTTAAATATGGCCTTTGTTATGATATAATTTTCAAGCAGGTTTTCCATTATGCATATTTGTTCCACTCATACTTGTAATCACCTTTTGGTCCTAACTAGAACAAACGTTTCTCACTTACTTAAGTATTGCCAAATTTTAAAGTGATATTAAAATGATTTACTGGAGAACAAAATTAAGGCATATTAGTATACATACCATTAACACCAAAATAATAGGTTTTATAAACACCTTATCTATTTTCAGTTTTGCTTTGGCTGCACCACTGATTAAATATAATGTCATCCTAAGATTTTACTACACTACATTTACATTGCAATCACATGTGGGTAGAAACACAATATTTATGCATATTATACAAAAAAAATTCATTATATGAATGATTATCCAATTAGCCTTTGGGTTCAAAGAATAATAATTCAAAGAATTGATTATTGTGGTATTTAATAAATTCCAATATCAAACATAAGTGATTGTTCTTTAGTCCAATGACTTAAGCTTAACTTTAAATTCACCACTTATCTTTATGCATTATTATTAAATTCTACTTTAATTGCACTTGCATGTTAATTCATTTTCTAAAGTGCACTTAAAACAAAATATGAAAAAACCACATACCTTAGGGTCTAATTATGTTTAATTGAAATGTAATTTAGTATGACGTGTAGATCTGTTTTTTTCTTCATAATATAATATTATTGATATATTGATACCAATTAAATGAAACTAAAGATTCTCATATGCATATGTGCCAATTTTTTCCAGCAAAATAATTAGCCTTTAAACATTAGTAATATCAAATGTACTTAGAAACCATTTCAAATATAAAAGAACTATAATTAGTTTAGTGCCATCCATTCATATCCTTATTTGATATATATATATATATATATATATATATATATATATATATATATATATATATATATATATATATAATATATATATATATATATATCAGTGAGGGTAATCTTATTAATAACAAAATAATACGTAAATGCTTATGAGTTATACATAATAAAGAGAAAACGCAGTAAGAATAATCAATGTTTATTTAGGGCTAGATAATTAAATAGTCATACGCTAATTACTCTTCATGACAATAAATAGATGTTTTCAAATCGATTATTATTTAGCGAAAATAATCTAAATGAAAGTCACAGTAGTCGTTAAAAAGAGAGTATGGCTATAGATAATGTCCTAATTTGATTTCATATGAGGAATTTATGATTTTTGGAAGTTTCAATATAGCATTTCAGGACACAAAAATCGAAATAGAAATCGCTCCATTGTTAGGAAAAACAATGTAAGAGAGAGTTGAAGATCTCGTTAATATATATTTGTTAATA